AATAATAATAATAATAATATAAACCAAGATAAACTCCAAGTAAAGCAAATATTTAAGTAAGAAAAACAGAACTATGAAATCACTAGATGACACAGTAGAAGACTTGTATAACCTTGTAGTGGGAAAAGCCTTACTAAGATCTAAAATTCAGAAGACATAAGAGAAGGCTAACAAGTTTAATCATAAATAAATGGCAAACAGTAAAAAATATGCTCAATTCATATCATAGACAAGGACAACTTTCCCTAATATATGATGAGTTTCTAGAAATTGATAAAAGACCTTAAGAGGAAATGGACAAAGTTCATAGAAAAGGAAATACAAGTGGCACTTAAAAATACGAAAAGTTGCTTAACTACTCATATTTAAATAATCTGCAATATTTCTTATCTATTGAATAGGCCAAAATCCAAACATTTTTAATCAAATGGGCCAAAATCCAAACAACCATTAGCTATGTTGGCAGGAGTGTGGGAAATTCTCTCACTTCATGCATTACTAGTGGAATTACAAATTAGTATAACTCTTATTGCGGATAATTTGCCATTATCAGTTAAAATTATAAATGCATACTTTTAACACAGCATTTCTACTTCTAGAAACTTATCCTGTAGAAATACATACACATATTCAGAGTGGCATATATGCAAGTTTACTCATTGCATCAGTAAGAGCAAAAGACTGGAAACAACCCAAATATCTACTAATAGAGAGCTGGTTAATAAATGATAATAGATTTAACACCATGAAATATTATGACATTGTAAATAAGAATGAAGAATCTCTCCAAGTGCTGATATGGAAATATTTCCAAGATAAATCACTATCTGAAAAAGCAAAGAGCTGGGCACGGTGGCTCACATCTGTAATCCCAGCGCTTTGGGAGGCTAAGGTGGACAGATCATCTGAGGTCAGGAGTTCGAGACTAGCCTGGCCAACACGGTGAAATCCTGTCTCTATAAAAATACAGAAATTAGCCGGGCATGGTGGCAGGCGCCTGTAATTCCAGCTACTCGGGAGGCTGAGGCAGGGGAATCACTTGAACCTGGGAGGCAGAGGTTGCAATGAGCCAAGATTGCGCCATTGTACCCTAGCTTGGGCGACAAGAACGAGACACTACCTCAAAAAAAAAAAAAAAAAAGAAGAAAGAAAGAAAAGAAAAAAGCAAAGAAAGTACAAAATTTAAAAATGATGACCTTGTATACAAAAGGAGAAAAGGCATATGAATATAATTTTACATTTACTCAAAGTTGTATAAAAGGAATTCTTAAGAGGTAGACATGAAAAAGGGAATGGGGTATAAACTGGGCTGAAGGAACAGAAGAAAGATTTTATATTGTTGTTTTGTGGCTCATACGGATATTTTACCTATCTAAAAATAAAGAATAAAATCAGTTTTACCTTTACTGGAACATTCCTATTTAAAAACCCATAAAT